AACATAAAAAAAAAAATCTAACTTTGACAAAGTCCACTAGGCGCAGGCTCTTTTAGGGTCTCAAGAACATGTTTCTTGGGGAACGCTTTGTCAACAATCCACTACAATTTATTTTGGCACTGATAATCTTTGCATTTGCCTTGTTTGTTTTTTTGGGCAATTCTACTATAGGAAACTCTCTAAGTCTAAATTGGGATAGAAGCAAAATGAAAACAAGAATAAACATAATATACTTGTATTCCCTCCTTTGACTGATCAAATAATCAGTTAACAAATATTTATTAAGCCAAGTAATAAATATGCATATAAGATATCCAGTCCATAAAGGCTCCAAATATTTTATTAATGCTGTCCTTTTCTTTTTCATTCCAGCAGAATACATGTTAATTCCATATTCTGTCTTTCTGTTTCTCCTTTCTCTCTGACTGGACATATGACCTTCCACAATGAATGTATGCTTTAGGTTGCTTGCTTTTGTCTGCCCTGTGTAAAATCAAATGTATATATTGTAGAAAGTTCTGCATTTTTATGCATTAGTTAATAGTAGACAGTAATAAAGCAACATCATCATCATCATCATTATCAGGGTTTATAGCATACACTTTCAGCCAAAATTAGCTTGCATGCCATTAGCTGCCAACAATCTGTTAGTATCTTAATTGGGAATCACTTAATTAAACTAACAAGGTCAATGATGATTCCTTTTCTTAAGCTCCAGAGCACATTCACAGGCACAGAATGTTTCCTCCTTTCCTCCCTCAGAAATAATGACTCAACTTTTAAGTACTTACTAACTCCATCATTCCTTTCCCAAACTGACCTGGCGTAGACATGAGATGGAGTGACAACACACACACACACACACACACACACAGAGTTGCTTGGTTCCTCTTTCTAACTTTGATTTTGCTGCTAGACAGTGGAGAAGGTTCAGTGATAAATCATGCTGTGCTTTGGCTTATTTTTCACTGCAATTTCCCCAAAACATTTTTGACAACCATTTAATTTGCAGCGGGATATTTATGTACTAACCCCCACTTCAAGCAATTTATTCTGGAAAATGAAGTAGGAACAATAGATACAATAGTATGATTTCAATAAATAACAAGAATTTACAGCAATTGTTGCCATATTAGGATATAGTCTTACTGTCTTCAGAAACAGATAGGATTTTAAGAGGAAAAAAGTGCCTTCAAAATGACAAGCAAGATATAAAATGGAGATAAACGGCTCAGCAGAGTGAGTACCCAGCTGTGCATGGTCTTGTTTGAGAGCTTGTTATATTTGCTTTTCAAAAGGATTCTGTACTTTCTTCACTCTGGACTAGAGCAGGCTTTTAAAGGCTGATGCGTGGTGTTAGAATAGACTGATAATTTTGCCAGATTCCTCCTATCCATGAAACATTGGAATTAGGTTTACCTTGGTATGTAAATTATTAAAGAATAAACATTTGCCTTTGTGGATTAATAGTAAAGTTTCACACTTCTCCATCCTATGACAAAAGGGGTCTCTGTTAATTTATCCTTTAGAATGAGGGAAACTGGTTATTTTTAGTAACAAATTTGTTGACAGAAGCTATTATTTCTGAGAATTCTGGTCTGACTTTCTACCAATTTAGCCATCCTTTGGTATTGGTATTTTCTCTTAGATAAAGATATTACATTTCTACAATCACTGAGGGGATAAATTCATCAACAAGTACTTCTTGAGGATATGCCGTATATAAGATACCATGTTAGGCATGAAGAAGTTCTCCAATAAGTCAAAAGCATCATTGGGACTTCAACAGACCCACACCAAGTTCAGGGATCAAGAATAATAATTTAAAATATGAACATGATGTTAAATTTCAGAACAATAGAGTTCTCCAAGAAACATTTCAAACACATAAAGCAGGATTAACAAGTAAATGGTTAAGCCATTATGTGCTCCAGAAATGAAGGGTGAAGGGAGATGAGTTAAGCTGGAATACTGGAATTTTCTTAGAAAAGAAGGAATTTTGGCTGTACCTACAAGGTGGTGGAATTTAGGAAACAGGAAGAAACATGAATTTTCACAAAGTGGAAGTGCTGAGAGATGTAATGGATTGAATTTTGAAACCTAGCACCCAAGATAACAGTATTAGGAGGTAGGATCTGTTGGGAGGCATTTAGGTCATGAGGATGGATTTTTCATGAATGGGATGAGCAAAAGAGATAACCTTGACTGCTTACTACCTTTAACATTGAGTCTTCTGGCATCTGTATCTGAAATTCACAACATCCCAAACTCTGTGAAATAAATTTCTGTTCTTTTAAAGCCTCTTAGTCTGGTAATTTTGTTAAGGCAGCCTGGATGAATGTCTATACAAATCCTTCAGGAAGACACTTAATATAAGTTTTTGCAGGAGAAAAATAAAAACATTTCATATGATATTGATGACAATTAACTTAGTTATGGATAAAAGGCCACAGTGAAGGAATTTAATGTCAGAGAGTATTTAAACCATATTTTACACAGTTTGAATCTTATTTATTTTGTGTTGAATCTTTTACATGGAAGTTACATGATTTTGAAAGAACCAGAATGTATTCATTTATGTGTTTGTTTGTATATTCTTGTAGTCACTCTTCCAGTTTAGTCAATGTTTTGCTAATTGAAGATATAGCAATGAATGCAACAGAAAAAAGTGTACTGCCCTGGAATTTATTCCAGTTGGAGGAAACAAGCAATGAATAAAGTGAATAACTGAAATAGATCACATTTTAGGGATAGTTATGTATGAAGAAAAAATGAAAAGCAAAGAGAGGAAATATGACGTGTTGCTTCATTGAAATGTTTGAGGATCCATTTCAAGGACCAGGTGGCTTTCTAAAAAATAATTTTGTATACTTGAAAGGCAGAGCACCAGATTGTGTGGGAAGGGGAGATATTTTCCATCTGTTGATACATTCACCAAATGCCTGAAACAACCAGGACTGTGACAGGTTGCAGCAGGAGATTGGAATTCCACTGAGTCTCGAAATGAACGTTGGAGCCCATGCACTTGAGCTCTGTCTGCTACTTCTGAGAGTGTGTTAGCAAGATTAGAAGTGCAGCAGCTAGGACTTGAACTAGTATTAAGATACGGGATATGCTTAACCTGCTGCACCACAAAACCCACCCTGAAGAAGACTTCTTGGAGACTGCAGAAGATGAGGGAGGCATTCACATACACAACTAGCGACAGGAAGAACATGGCAATCAATGAACAGGAAAAGCAAGTGCAAGGCCACAAAGAATGAATAGTCTAGAACAGTTAGGACAACATGAGCACACAGGAGAGTGGTAAAGAGAAAACCGGAGAGATTGTTGGTCAGCTCATGACGGGTTGCCTTCTCACAACTTTGGCTCTTACTTGAGTGAATTAGCAACCCATTGAATGTCTTTGAGTGGAAGTCTGATGTGACCAGGCTCATAACAAACTATGCAATGGGTTTTAATATGGCTGCTGAATATATTTACAGGCAAAATACGATTTAAAACTGAAATGGATAACTAGAAAGGTTCAGGAGTTCAAAGAATTACACAACTGAATGTACTTCTAAGAGACTAAGAGACTTCTAAGAGACTAACCTCAGAAATATATCAGTATCTCCTAAAATGAGTTTACACTGGTAATTTTTGAAATTCCTAGGAAGTGTTCATTTTTATTCTAATTTGCATAATTTGCTGAATTTTGTATATTTAGACCTTTAAACTTTATGTCAGTAAAATAATATATATTTATAAAAGTACTCTCTGATCTTTGGTAACTTTGGTTCAGCATTTCTCTGTGATCTTGTAGAATAAGTTCAGGTTAATCAGGTTAACAAGTGAGTAGATATGGTTTGTTTGTTTGTTTTTTTTTTGATAGGCAGAGTTAGACAGTGAGAGAGAGAGAGACAGAGAGTTACAGGCAGTGAGAGAGAGACAGAGAGAAAGATCTTCCTCCCGTTGGTTCACTCCCCTAATGGCCACCATGGCTAGCACTGTGCCAATCCGAAGCCAGGAGCCAGGTGCTTCCTCCTGGTCTCCCATGCGGGTACAGGGACCCAAGCACTTGGGCCATCCTCCACTGCCCTCCCGGGCCACAGCAGAGAGCTGGACTGGAAGAGGAGCTAGTACCCGGTGCCCCAACTGGGACTAGAACCCAGGGTGTTGGTGCCGCAGGTGGAGGATTAGCCAAGTGAGCCATGGTGCTGTCCCTGACTTTAAAACCATGTTAACCATGAACTAAATTTAGTTTTTGATAAACCATTTAATTTCCATACACTTCAGCCGGTAATCTAGATCTACCCAACCCAAGTTATTCCACTGTGACCCCTTTAAGATGTAAGCAGAGAATTCTCCTCAGCTGGAGCTTTCAGTACTAAGCCAAATCTCACCATACTTCTGTTTTTACCTGCAATTTTACACTGCATTGTTCTCTTTCAATCACCTCCATGCCACAGACACCTGGCTGTGCAAAGTATTCTTTTGACTGCCTGTCCCCATCCTCTTTAGACACTAATATTCTTCTTCCTATTGATTCAGGTGATCTCCTTCCCGACATATTGCCCACTTGCTCCACTTGTTAATAAAGAGATAGTTCTAGATAATATCTAATATTTAACTCACAAACTCACAACTATGGTGAGTTTTCCTGGTGCACTGCACTAATTTTTGCTTCTCCATGAACTTAAGTGGTCATTGAACATATACTTCAGGTCCTTGCCATAGAGTATTTAATATGCATGATGAAATCTATTCTGAGGTTAATTTGTCATTGAGAAGGACATTTTGATATGAGAAGTGAAATTATATTCTCTGCCATAATCATGGTAACTGTCATTTCTATAATTATTTATTTAGTGAGCATTTAGTACTTTCTGTGTACTAGGGGTAGAGTCAAGAAATAGTATGTGTGCTATTTAATTTCACAACCATCATAAGTAGAAATAACAATTATTAACTCTGATGTTTTTCAAATGAATAAACTGAGGCAAGGAAAAATAGATTATCTGTCCAAACTCAAATAATTTTAATTTAATGCTGAATTTGAATCCTTACACTTAATTTTAAAGATCTACTTCAGTAATGTCTTCAGATATTCACACTGGCTTCTATACTGAAATTGGAGGTAAGGCTTCTCTGCAATGACAAAAGTATCAATATTTTACTTAACTAGTAAATAAAATTCAATGAAGTGCTAAACTTCTGAAATATCAGTGGCAATAAGAATATAAAAAAGAGGGAATGACAACATATATGTATATAAATACATAATACACATACAATAACTTATGACTGTAATAAAGCTAACTCATCGAACATACTTTGTTGTTTTTCAAAACTTGAATTAAAATTGTAGGCTGTGTTATTGATTTGTGTCCTTGTAGATTATGAACAAATTGTGCCATATAACAAGATAGCATAGTATTTACAGATGAGCAGAGGCATTGACCAACTGTCCAGATACAGAGAGCAGGGAAAATGATGTGAGTTTATTTGGAGATGCCTATCATCAAGCACACATTTTAGGACATCGTAAAACTGTGGAATACATTTCAAACAGATTGGTTGTAATTTAATAGTGTTTTTTCTCCCTCTTGGAGCAAGAGAACATAAACGTGAGCAATAAGAGTTTAGGGTATATAATACTTCAGTGTGTGCTCTTTTTTTGGCATTTTGATTAATAAAAGAAAAGATGAGACAAAATTTTTCATCCAGGCAAATGGATTTGGGTTATTAGAATATAAAAGTTGATCATACAACCTCATTAAACATAGTAAAGCAGAATATAGCAGTGGGAATACTAATGCTAGAAAAAGTCTTCCTAAGCACTGAAAAGAGGGCAAAACAGCAATAAAGAGGCTCTCTGGTTCTTTCACTGACTAACTGTAATTCACATAAATCCTTCAAGTCTCAGTTTGTTTATCTGTAAATGAATAATTTAGACTGAAATAATTTCTAGGATCCTTTCTAACCATAATATCTACTATTTAGATTTAAACTGGAGCAGAGAATTCCCTTGGCACCAAAATTTATCTATGAAGACATATTCCTGCTAAATTTAGTATACTGTTAATGTGGACTGGAAAATCATTTTCATTTTAAAAGGTTTTTTTATAGTATAGTTATTAGAACATTTTTCTGGAATGAAAACCTCAAATTTTCACGCCAGCACTTCCACATACATGCTGTAAATATGCTTCTTAAATCTATTACAATTGAGGCTTACAATTGGCTTTTTGAGATGACATGATCTATTTCACACAGGTGAGAAAAGCATTAAATAAAATGTTTTGAACTGATCTTATGGTTTATAAATTGAAATGACTTTAAATGAGACTCACAGGCCTTTATAACAATCTCAAAACTTCAATAAAAAATTCTGTAAGGGAAGGGCTCATGTCTGTCAAGTTCATCATTGAATTCTATGCAAATAGTACAGTGCCTACATCAGAGGAGAGCTCAGTAAATATTTTTTATGATGGAAAAGAACACAGAAATGAATAGCTGATTTACTTGGAATCCCAAGGTCTTCTTATGATGTTTCAAATTACTGCTATTAGGTTGTATATCCCTATGTAATTAGTATAATCTTTATCATATATTATAGAAGGTCCCCGATCTTCGAAATCCTAGAAAGTAAGAACAAAAACCTTTAGGAATCTTTACGTAGAAGATCTATTAAGCCGAAATCATTAAAAAACATATTAACAGATATGGTAGAGAAAATATTGGCTTTGTATATCCCCATTCTGGTTTAATACTTACATTTTAACTTCTCTTGGAGACTGATATAGATAGAAATTGTCTTGTGAATTACTCAGTGGATTAAGTTACGATGTGTTTGTAACTATTACAATATTTGCTTCATAATAGCCATTCAATAAATATTTATTCATTTTCCATGCTATAATTTCTCATCATCAATGAAGAGAAAGCTGTGATAAATAAATGAGAAAAAAATTTTAAAACACCATGGCTGCATTTAAAGAAGAGAGTTCTCCTCTAATAATGGGGTTATGAAAACTTACAAAAGATCACCTAAAATAAAAATTTATTTTCTGGAGTGATAGAAAATCAATGTATATGGGGCACCCAGAATATATATACCACAAGTGATTGCATCATTTAGCTTGTGACATACAGTCGTATGCAAAGATACTTCAAATGCTCTTTGTATTTTCCTAGCTTTTTTGAGTTTTGTGCTGATTTTAATATTAGAATAAAATTATCAGTTTGTACACTAAAGAAACATGTGATTTATAAAACAAATAACCAAAATGCAGAGCTTATGTTGTCAATAATTTTTTTCAGGTTCTATCAAATTTGAGCTGTAATGTATCAGACAGTAAATCTTTTATATTTGTGAATGATGTCTAAATAACTCAAGTGCTATAGTGGTATGAAAACAGCATGAACAAAACATCAACTAATTGTCATTGTTGTGTTTCAATAAAACTTTTTGGTAACCAGATGGTGAGCCAAATTTGGGCCAGAGCTATAGTTTGAAATCTATTAATCAGTCAATTGGATAGAGAATTTTCTCATAATTAATTATAGATATCCTATTTTGTACCAGTCTCTAAACACACACCTTTGTTTTGCTGAACTGAAAATAGTATATGTTGATTGGGATGACTTATAAGTTATGTAGCCCTACTAATAAAATAATGAGCAGGTCCCTTAAAAGTCCAGCTTAAATCATTGACTATTCATAGAATTTCCCATTCTCTTTCATAAAATCTGATGACTGGTCTTCCCAGAGAATAGTCAAACCAAGAAATTTCCAGAAAATCCTACCTTATGCATTTATCGACTGAAGTACCCAGCATACTCTAATGCCATTATGGATAGAATATTCACTCCAAGCTAAGGCTGTCTCTACAATTAGATCCCATTCACCATGACCAACTCCCAGCATTACTTCAATAAACCTCCCCTTCCCTGCATCTCCAGCAGCAGTATATTTTGTTCTAGTGAATCATTCCTATCACCACACAAAAATGTTTGCATCCCACATGGGTGTTCTTCATCCCAGATGATCCACTTCTGATCCAGCTCCCTGCTAATGCACCTAGAAGTGCTTGGGCCCTTGCACCCACATGGGAGACCTGGCGGAAGTTCCTGGTTTTGGGCTTCGGTCTGGCCATGCCCTGGCCATTGGGGCCAGTTGGAGTGTGAATCAGCAGATGGGAGATTATCTCTCTCTCCCTCTCTCACTCTCTTTCTCACTTTCCCTCTGTAACTTATTATTAAAAATAATAAAAGAAACTTCAAAAGCAGTTATACAGAGGGAAAAAACTATGTAGAGAGGAAAAAAGATAAGAATGACTGGTGACTTCCTATTGCAAATAAAACAATGATAAGCAAGAGAGTGGTACTGACAACATAATAGGGGAAAAATGCTCAGATTTTCAGTACACACCAATGTTCTTTCTTCTTCAGAGAGGATGTTAGTTTCATTCATTGCTTCCTCATTGCCCTTTGCACATGCCTTCTTCCACTCAAGCATTTAATTTTTTGTGAGTATTTCATTTCAAAAATATCTCTCCAAGATATGCATGTTCCTCAAAGATGAAATCTGTATATCAATCACCTTGAATGGTACTTATCATAAAGTGGTATTTATTAAGTCAACAAGGAGAGCAGAGATAACATATTTGCAAGTCATGACCCTATAAAGATACTAGTTAACATGTATTGAACATTTACTGTTCTCACATAGAATACCTCATATATTTAAACAAAATTTCAAATGTAATTATTCTACCAATATCTTAGTGTAGGTACCCTTTTTGTCTACTGCTATTACACCTTTGTTGCTCCCCCATTCGCGGAGGAACGACACAGGACCCTGTGCTGTTCTTTTATCTGCTCAGCCCTTCCCAGGTTAGCTGCCGTTCCCTCATTCGTGGAGGAACGACGCTGTCCCGGGTTAGCTACCGGCCCCTCCACCTCCGTGGAGGGGCGGCACCCACCGCCACTTTCCCTGCTTCCACGGAGGAGCGGCACACCGCCAGCTGGCTCTCTCGGGGGCTGCTCAGATGTTCCTCAGGTGTTCCCCTCAGATGTTCCTGGTGCATGTCGTCTCTCTCCTCCTTTATAGTCCTCTTCCACCAATCCCAACTCTGCTACCCACACGCTGAGCACACTGCTCTCCTCCAATCAGGAGCAGGATCGGCTCCTGCAGCTTACCAGTCAAACTGATGAGGCAGCTGCGTAGAAGTTTACTCCTCCCCAGCGCCATATTGTGGGAGAGCAGATGCATAGAATAAGTCTTAATTCCAGTAACTTAGTCTAGTCTCCGCTGCTCCCCATACACCTTTATTTTTGTTGTAGAAACAAGGCTGTCAGAGGTAACACAGCGGATGTTCACACTCAGATGCACCTGGCAATAAAGCCTTTTTTCTGAGTCAAAATACCTGAATTCAAGTCTACCATCTCTTCCTTAGTAGCTCTATGACATTAAGCAAGTTCTTTAAATCTCTTAATGTACTTGCAAAAAGGAGATAATAAATTACTTAATTTCTCATAATGATTTATAAAATTATGTATTTTAGAGTGGTATATTATGTTGAATAGCTGGCAGATATCTATTATTTCTTTGATAATAGCTACAGAAAGCAGAATTAAGGGAGAATTCTCATCAGAAAGTGTCCACACTTAAGTACAAAGGCAGAGCAAGTGGATAACAAGAAGCAATATTCCCAGTGATGTCGGCCGTTCCATCTTTAATAGCCCTATGTTGCATTGATAACCTTGGGATATTTGAAAGGAAGAGAAATAAACTCCTTTTCTTAATATGTGTCAATCCCATAGAAAAAGATTTAGGAGAAGCTGGCATCTGTTGGGTTTCCTTGTCTGTTCTAATGGGGTTGGGGGATGCATATGAGATATAGGAAGCCATTAGTTGACTATGGCCAGTGGAGCCATAGCCATGGCACAAGGAGATAATTACTGTTATTGTTATGTGCACAAGAATCTGAAGAAGAGAGTCTGCCATTGCGCTTGGGTGGAGGGAGCCTTTGAGAAGAGAAGGCTATAGGTGAGCCCTAAGCACTTTTGTGGACTATTGTTTGAATGGGAAGCATTGCTCCTGTTCTGCTGACTTCTTTGGTGTGCATTCTTGCCCTAACTTTAAATAAAAGCATCTGCTCAGACACAATCCTGTGGTGCAATAGCTTCTGAATGAAAATTTAACAGAAGCCAATTAAGAGTTTTGTTTTCACCTATGCAGACAGCACCTCAATTATTTGCATTTGTGGCATGAATTTTCTTGGATAATTAGTCTCATGGACTTTTGCCAGGAGGCATAATTCCTCTCTCCTAGCACTTTCCAGTAAAACTGAAATAGTAGACAAGCACTCTTACAACAAATTATATTAAGAAGTTTAATTAGTGGGAAATAAAATATTACAGTGATATTAAATGTTAAGTGTTTAGACTGCATATAGACACTGACAAGTTCTTGTTCTATATAATCCATTTATCTAATCATTTGTGGCCTCTTTGTTCCTCTCTGGTTTGTCAAAAGAAATTCCATTGATTTCTGTTTAATTTTGAATTTTTCAAAATTCTGTTTTATTTTGGAGACAGAAAGACCGACAAATAGAACGAAAGTTTTCACCTGCTGTTTCACCTCCCCAAATGCCTGCAGTGGCACCACTGGGTCCTAATCAAGAAACTGAAACTTCAATTCAGGTCTCCTACATAAGTGGCAAGGACCCAATCACTTGAGCCATCACTGGTCTCAGAGACCGCATTAGCAGAAAACGAGAATCAGAGACAGAGCCAGGTGTCAAACCCAGGCACTCTGATATGAGACGTGGTATCAATGGCTAGGTCAAATGCTTCTTTCCCCCATTGCATTGCTTTGCTTCTGTGTTGCTTCTGTGTTCAGTCTCACTAGTTCCTAGAGATTCCCTTGCATTGGATGGCTTTTGTTTCCTAATTAGTACATGGGCCTTCATGATCATGCCATCATATTTTTTAAGATTTATTTATTTGAAATTAGAAAGCATATATATGCCATATATATATATATATATATATATATGGAGAGAGAGAGAGAGAGAGAGAGAGAATGAATCTTCCATCCACTGGTTCACTCCTCAAACAGCCACATTGCCTGGGATTGGTCCAGACCAAAGCCAGGAGCTCCATCCTCCATCCAGGTCTCCCACATGGATGGCAGGGACCCAGACATTTGGGCCATCTTCTACTGCTTTCCCAGACACATTAACAGGGAGCTGGATTAGAAGCAGAGCTACTGGGACATGAACTGATAGCCCATTATGGGATGTTGGCAACTCAAGCAGTGGCCTGTGTTGCTGTGCCTTAAGAGCTGCCTCCATGTGTGCCATTATTAGCATATACCTTTCATCAATGCTTTGTTACAGCTCAGTAGCCTTCTTGAATCATCTTTAGCTGGGCGTTGTATTTTCTCTTTGCCATTAGTTATTTAGGTCTTTGTTCCTCTTATCCATGGATGATATGTATATCCTTCTCCATTATAGCCCATATTTCAACTGAAGTAAGCATTTTTGAATCTATCCATAGGCAGCAGAGATTTCTGCCATAGACTAATGCAATAAAAATTTTTCTCAGCCTAATCCCCCAGTCTTTGAGAGCCTATGTTTTGTTTCACAATAATCTGTGTCCTTTCACTTCCTATCAGGTATTCCTGAACATGATCACAGATTACTTACCAGAAACAGTCTAAGAAAATGTGGAAATCACCTGTTCCCTCTAAAAACCTCACGTTGTTTTGATAACATTGCATTTTTGGAAAATGGTAAAATAAACTCCCCCCTTCTTTTCAAAAACATGTTTGAAAGAGACAGAGGTAGAGACATAGAGAAAGTTCCCATCTATTGGTTCACTCCCCAAATGCCCATGATGGCTGGGACTGGGGCTGAGCCAGGCCAAAACTGAGATC